TAATAATCAGAAACAAGCTATGGAGCTCTACTTTGAATTCCACAGAGGTGCTTTCCAAATTGGGCTGTTCTTTCCATCTCTGCTGCCTCTCTAGGATTGTGGGACACTGTTGTTGCCATTTTCAAAACGCACATGTGCACATTTTATACTAAGATGGCCACCATATGGAATCAAACGTGGCTGTGTTTCGGTTTCACTGAGTTTCGTTTGGGGTCTGTGGGAGGATTAAGACAAGTATTTGCCATTTCAAAAGACTCTCCTGCTAGGGCTTGCTGAAGGGAGTTGCATGGGCAGCTTTGAAGGCTTATGTTCTATTTATAACTTGAGTCCTGCTAAGCAGCCAAACAAGCTTCCCTGCCCAGGTTACCCCATAATGCATACCTCTCCACTTAAGATGACTCATTGGGTACTGATATTAGAGACCAGCAAGGGAGGCAGAGAGGTGGCGGCTGCTTTCACGTGGATCTCTTGGCTGCAAACTAAAAACTTAAGCCAGTTTCATACATTGTACTGTCTGGAATGATTGTTTCCACACAATCCAAACTCTGTGGTAATTCCTCTCAAACTTAGGGCCACAGAGCTTGGCCTACCACTTTGCAAAGCCCCAGCCAGCACAACCAGTGGTCAAGCCTTCAGGGAATTGTAGCCAAAGAACATTGGGAGCAAGAAGTTTGGAAACCACTGCCTTATGGATTGATCCCATGCTGCACTGGGGTTTATGGAAGAATGTGTTCAATATATGTACCTACTATGGCTGTGAGTACTCCTGTTTGCTTGTTGTTTACTCGTTAAGTCGTGTCCGACTCTTCATGACCCCATGGACCAGAGCACGCCAGGCCCTCCTATCGGCCACTGCTTCCCGGAGTTGGGTCAAATTCATGTCAGTAGCTTCGGTGACACTGTCCAACCATCTCGTCCTCTGTTGTCCCCTTCTCTTCTTGCCTTCACACTTTCCCAACTTCAGGGTCTTTTCCAGGGAGTCATCTTTTCTCATGAGATGGCCAAAGCATTGGAACCTCAGCTTCCGGATCTGTCCTTCCAGTGAGCACTCAGGGTTGATTTCCTTCAAAATAGATAGGTTTGTTCTCTTTGCAGTCAAGGGGACTCTCAAGAGTCTCCTCCAGCACCACAATTCAAAAGCATCAATTTTGAATGCTGTTGAAAAGCAGTCAGCCTTGTTTATGGTCCAGCTCTCACTTCCATGCATCGCTACTGGAAAAACCATAGCTTTGACTATGCGGACCTTTGTTGGCAAGGTGATGTCTCTGCTTTTTAAGATGCTGTCTAGGTTTGTCATCGCTTTCCTCCCAAGAAGCAGGTGTCTTTTAATTTTGTGGCTGCTGTCATAATGGAGCCCAAGAAGGTAAAATCTGTCACTGCCTCTATATCTTCCCCTTCTATTTGTCAGGAGGTGATGAGACCAGTGGACATGATCTTAGTTTTTTGATGTTGAGCTTCAGACCATTTTCGGACTGTTTGCTTAGTACATTCATCTCTGTGCAGATTGCAGTGCCTAGTTCTACCTATAAATATACAACACTTTCTTTGTCATTGTAACCCCTACTAATAACATTTAGTTTTCATTTTGCTCAGAGCAGGAAAACAGCTTGGAATTTATTGCATTTATATAATATCTGAAATTTAACCCATCTGAAATAGAAAGCCAGATATTGCGAGCTATTAATATGATGACAAGTAAACTTACTGTAGGTTTTACATACACAAACACATCACAAATAAACTCATTTTCAAAATTATCAAAACCTAGCCCATTCTTAATTTTTAGATAAAGATATATTAAGTGTGATTTATAACCCTATATCTCCAGACCTGTACACATACCACTGTGAAATGTGGTCTAAACAGGAGACATTGCAAGGGGGAGAGGGGAGAAAAAGTGCTTTCAAGAGGCTTCTCTCAAAGTGCTTTATACAGTATTTCCATAGTACAATGCATTCTCTACAAGTTTTACATTTATTTTACAGTCTTTAGATCATTGCCTTTAAGATGTAAATTTTTACAAAATGTTGGCAAGCTGAAATGACCTTACTCTTTGGCATATGCTGAGAATATTAGCCCCCTTTTTTACTCCAGGTTTCTTCCTTGCCTCAGTTGGGTATAATCCTGTTCCTGTAGCTAGTTCAGAATGTAGTTTGCTTGGAAACTGTAGTCTGGGGAGAGCCCATAAGACAAGCAAACAACAACTTGCAGATATAAGGCACCAAGACCATTTCACACTCCATTTCTCCTACAGCCTTACACACTGAATATACACCTGTCTGTGTATTATAAACTGTAAGAAACACTTCAGTTATTTATATGAAAAATGAAGCCACTAATGTCTGTTCAGAATTTAGAGAGAATGGTCTGTATTATAGGTTAACTTACAAAGAAGTTCATGGAAAAAATATTTGTGTCCCTTACTACTATCAAACCCATGCATCCCATCAGAAGAGTTTGTGGAGAGACTTTCGGAGGACAGGTGGCTTCAGAGTGAGAAGGGAATGGAAAAGTGGTTTAGGTATCTGGAGGTTGAGAGTTTGATTCCCCATGGTGCCTCCTAAATGGGGGCTGGACTTGATGATCCATAGGGTCCCTTCCAGCTCTGCAGTTCTAGTATTAGTATAATATTTTTTATTATTCAGTGAATATTCTTAACTTCACCAGTCTTAGGGTCAGGTCACATGTTTAAACAAAACCAAATTTCTTCCTCTCCCAACCAAGCCAGGACATTTAAATATCTGAGACATCAGACATGCAAACAAACTCTTGCTATTTCCTCATCAACCAGTTATTAAACAAAACTGAGCTAATTCGCCATACATGAAATGGGACAAGCTTGCATTAGAATATACAGTCTTTTTCTCTTAACAATGAACATCATCTAGATATGGAAGCAGAGTTGTGTTTAGTGAGGCCCTAAGAATACCAGCCTATGAGATCGTGTATAATATGAGCACAAGTAACAGTGTAATATATGATTTGTGTCAATGTGTTAAAGGATAAGCTGTCAGCAGCAGAGTACAACAAGCTACAGCTACTAAAACACTTTTCTTTTGTACAATTCTCAAATGTACTTCTCCTCCTGTACATTTGAAGCATTTGATTGTCTTTGCTCTGTATATGAAGAATCTGGCCATAAGTAACACGAATACCAGCCATCTGAATAAATGGTTCTGTGCTGAACTAAAACAGCGTGCTTTTGAAAAATAATTTTACAGGAAAGAATACTGCAGCTTGTGGTTTGAGCAGAAATGGGATACATTATGGAGTGAAGTACATTTGTGCTCATCCCACCTTTGCAAAATAAGATTTGCTGCCAGACAAAACCAGCAAGACTACACCTGATTTATAATACTATTTACAAGGATTTTTTTTTAAAAAAACCCTGTTCTCTAGTATATTCAATTAGAGATTTGGGAGCTTTCTTGCAATCCTAAACACCAGTGTTGCACACATAGATTGTGAAACTAGCTTATGAATAAGGGGCTCAAAATTATCTTCTGATTACATGTTTCTCCACTACATGTTTCTTTCAGCCAGTTAACATGTAAGAGACCAACAGTTATATTATGGGAAGCTTTTTTATAAGGGGGAATGCATGCCAAGAAACTGGTTGGATACCTCAATGAGTATCTGGATGTGGAGCTAGAGGTTGGAAGTTCAATTCCTTACTATGCATCCTTGAGGAATCTGCACAGTCCCAGGAGGACCCCGGAAGAAGGGAATGGAAAACAACTTCTGAGTGTTCTCTACCTGGAAAACCTTGGAAAGGATTGCCATTGGTCAAAATTGACTTGATGGCACATTATTATTATTGTTGTTGTTATGCAGCCACTGTGCTTTCTGTTCTGGGTCTCAGCCCCATAGCCTTTTCCCATCAGCATGTAACTATGTTCCATCATAGTAGGCAAAGAGTAAAAAGACCAAAGAAAAACAGTGCAAAATGGGCACAGAACTGTTGGTGCAAAAACACCCAAATTAGTAAAAATTCCATCTGGTCCCAGCCTCTGCCCTTAGTGTCTCCTGCTGTTGGAATGTAGTCCCAGATACCCTGCCCAAATTGTACTTCTACCCCATCATTGGGCAAAAACTGTGTCTCCTTTTTTAAAGTGACAAAATCTCCAGGCTGCAACCTGACAAATGCAGGAGACTTTGATTTCTGTTTTGTGGCATTTCTTACTTAAAATCTCCTTCTACAATAGTTGTACAACTTCACAATAATAACCACCATCAGTATAGTGAATGTTCGGACTGCTGCTGTAACGTTTAACAACTTAATTGATAGCCACAGCCCCAACACTTAGTATTTGTATTGCATTGATAGTAACCACTGTCTTATTCTCATGTCTTGAAACAGATTGTGCAAAATACTAAACATCTTGGTCTAAACTTTGACTTTGAAAGTTTTTGAATAGTTGACCATTCTTAGGTGTTGTGCACTCTAGTTAATGTGCACACACCCTTCCAGTAGATCCAAGACAGAAGTTGACAATCCCTCCTATGGCTTCCAAATTCTTCTTCTTTTGAGTCCCCTGAGTCTTGAATTGTTGTATGCTGAGAGGAAATCCAGCCAACATGCCTTTTCCTGACTCAGAGATGCATGTTCTAGTTGCTAAATCTTCTCTTGCCAAGGAGCGGTTAAATTCATGGGTGATACAAAAAGTAGGCAATGCTAACCCAGCCTTACCCAGCCTTGTCCCCTTCAGGTGTGTTGTACAACAACTCCCATCACCTCCAGTCTGTTGTCTAGAATGATGGGGGTTGTAGTCCCGCATATTTGGAGGGGTCTGGGTTGGGGAATATGCCCCATTCCTTCTCATCCATTATATATTACTTGGGTTTTTGTCCTTGTGAAGTGCTCTTCCCCCTTTCCCATCAATTGCACCATTTTCTTCTTATTATTAGCTACTCCCTTTTCCAATTCTGGTCCTTGTATGGCTATTGTTAACTGGTAATGAACAGTCCTTGGCATGATGGTTTCTGAACTCTTTGCTCCCCTTTTTCGCTGTTGAGATGACTTGGCTATTCCTTGTCTTCCTAAAGGAAGAAGGCACCCAACTTTTCTTTGGTGTTCTTTGCTGAACAGTTGCATATTTTATGGCAATTGTATCAGAAAGGTAAGAATTTATTCCAAAGCATCAGCTCTAGGTTATCACCTATTAGCCATCATGGCCTTGCAATACAACAAAGTCTGTGTAATTACTCATATGCTATAAGTTAAGCAAATATTGCTGAACTGCCAGTGGTACAACTTTGCCTTGTTGCCCATATTGCATAGAAGCCCATAAGAGCAGGGTATCAGTTGAAATACCCAACTCTTACCCATGCCTTTAATAACTTACAACAATCTATTTACAAGAAGAAAGTGAACAAAAGAGCCCTAAAGAGCTGGCAAAGGAGGAGTTGTAACAGAGTGGAAAGGAAGAAGCCCCTCATGTGCAGCCTTGGGCTTGGCCAAGGCTGTGACAAGCTTTCTGTTGAAGTACTTTAATGAAGACCTCCTTGATATGAATAAGAAATAGGTTGTCTTGTCCCAGGCCTCACAGTGAATGTATTTGCAGTTCCACCGTATGATAGACTCCCTTGGGAAGATCTGAAGGGGAGGCAAAAACCAAAAACACCATCAGATGAATGGAAACCCAGAGACATGCAGTGCAGTCTAAGAAGTTCTGTAAAGCAATATATGATAAGGAGGAGGAAATATATCGGGAAAACAGGTAGCCTAAGTTCAGGAAGGTAATTTCCAGGATGAAGATTTACGGTATAATAATTTCTACAGTCATCATTTCTGCTAATTCTTTTCAACACAGTAAGCCAGAATTTTGACATCAGAATCTCCTTGGGTAACCGAAGGTACAAAACTCCAGGTACAAAATGTAGATAAATATATTTTTGGATATATAACTAGAGACTGAAGCAGATCCTTGCTTATCTAGATAAATGTGTTAAAAAGCAAAGCGTGCTGCTTATATACCGCCCCATAGCGCTTCAAGCACTGTCTGGGCAGTTTACAAGTTAATTATGCAGGCTACACATTGCCCCCCCCCCCCCCGAGCTGGGTACTCATTTTACCGACCTTGGAAGGATAGAAGGCTGAGTCAACCTTGAGCCCCTACCTTTGGCTGCAGTACAGCGGTTTAACCACTGCGCCACCAGACTCAGTGGTTAAACGGTACTACGATACTATAGAAAATGGTGGGTAACTACACTAAAGCAAAAAAACAAAAACAAAAATAAAAACGAAAAAAACCCAAAACCAAAAAATGCTGCTTATATACATCCCCATAGCACTTAAAGCAGTCTCTGCATGACTGACAATTTAATTATGCAAACTGCACATTGCCCACCCCACAGCAAACTGGGTACTCCAACTTGGGCAGTTGCTTATATACATCCCCATAGCACTTAAAGCAGTCTCTGCATGACTGACAATTTAATTATGCAAGCTGCACATTGCCCACCCCATGGCAAACTGGGTACTCCAACTTGGGCAGTTCACTATATATGCACTAGTTTAGTTGAACGTTAAGCGACTCACAGCTAAAATTGCATAAGTCTACAGTCCAGCGTATCTTGAAATAAACAACTTAATATATCCTATCCAGTAATGCAACTTTCCTCCCACTGAGCTAAGCGGCGTAAGTAACTCCAGCTATGACTATGATAACAGTCTTGGCGACTTCCACTGTTTATGTGCAGGGTGGGAGAAGTGTCCATTCAGCTGGAGGTATATTGAGTATTTCCAATGCAATTAATCACTAGTTGTTACGCAAACTAATTGGTAAATAGAAAAGTACTTGCTCCTGCAACTTCATTGGCCCTGCCTACATATTTAGGACCATAGACTTGGTCTATAATTGTTGCACGGGTTGCAGGAACAAATGCTATCATTAAAACTGTTGGACAGGATATTCCTCCTGTTTTAGAAGGAGAAAAAGGCTTCGCTTTGTCAGATGGTGAAAACTACGGTATTTTAAAAGTGCCATCTGCATGCTCATACCTGATGGGCAATATTTTCCTGCAGGTCCTAACTCACGCCCCAGCTTTTTGCAATTAGAGCACGTGGAACATACCTGCCAGCAGCTGGTGCACTGGAATACTCTCCATTCTGGCCTTTATATTTGGCATCGCTGGAAACATTAAAAGCCACAGTTTTTCCAGGTAGTTCCAGGGACACTCTTCTGCCCTGTGCACTGTTGGGAACATTCCTCTGAATAGAGTTGACCCGGCGCTTCCCTTCTGCAGCCTGAGAATGGTAGGTCAGTGTATTGTGCCCGTAGGAGTTGGGTGAGCTCACACTGCGAGAATACATGGCTGCTCTCCCATATGATCCATCAGTTTCTGACACATAAAGACGCTTCTTTATCAATGGTCGGGTACTGGAGTAAGAACTGAGATAACTGGAAGAGTAGCTCCCGCCTGGATAATGGTGACTGTACCCACTAGGCCTTGTATTGTTTTCCAGAGTGGGTTTGGATGTCAGGGAATAACTCTGGCTAGAGTCATAGCCCGAGTGACTTAGATTAAGTTGCTTATCTGAGGCCAGACTGTTACTTGAGATGTGGTTCTGTTCTCTATTAGAAGAACTGAGTGGGACCCCGCTGGCATCATTGCTGAACTCTGGTGGTGGGGGAATGATCTCATAATCAAAAACGTCCTCCTCCTCTTCATTGTTGCTTGCAGTGTGATTTTGAGCTGTCGTGAGAGAGTTTGCAGGAGCTTCTGGCATGTTGCGAAGGTCTTGCTGTTTCGAGTGGCTGGATGCTAGGAGGCTTTGAACTAAACTGGAAGAATTATACCTGTTTATTGAAACAGTCTTCTCATTTGTCTCTGGGAGCTTCTGCCCATTCTTGTTTTCTTCTGGGGCATTAGATAAAGTCTGTGTTTTTTGCTCTTTCTGCCCAAATTCTGACAAGCCCACATCACTACTGTTAGATGCACTTGCTGCGGTGGGCTGCCTCTGTTCTGAAAGCACCAGGGATCCCTTCTGAGGCAGCTTTGGTACCACTGTGACAGAGTTGGGCTTGGCGTCATTGTAGTAAATGGTGGACATCCCAGTCTCTGATCGACTGCTGTTGTGGAGGTTTTCTGATAACCTGAGTGGAGGTTTCTCAGATAAGTAACTGTTTTGTCGGGAGGCCGAAGCAGAAGACCTCCCTCTTTGGGCCCGCTGCTGTGCAGCCAGGAGAAGAGCCATTGGAGAGCCTCTCTCTACTTTTTCTCCTGTAACAGGATGAATCAAAACCTCATTATTTGTTTGCTCCATATTGGAAGAGAGGGAGGATGCTACTGATAACTTGCGTTCACCAGAGTCTTTTTGGTTTTCAGGATTATTTATGCTGACTGATCCATTTTCTGTAGTTTGGGAAGAAGTTGCAGAGGCGAGGCTGTCAACAGAACCTAACTGCATCCTATGAGTCTTGTACTGCAGAAGAGAAAAATCCATACTGGGAGATGCAGTTCGTATGGGTGAGGCAGTCCCAGAAGAGGCAGGTGAAGAGGCAGCTGGAACCAAGGGTTCGTTCTTTGGTTTCTGAGGAGATACTGGAGGTTTGTAAGATGGTGTGTGATTAGAAGAGGCACTTGGAGAAGCCTTAGGGTCTTTCTCTGTCCCTTCTAATGTTGAGTTATTCTGATGGGCTATAGGTTTTGGAAGCCTGGACGCTTCACCATTGATCTGGCCACCACCAAACTGAAGAGTAACTTGTTTCTTTGTTTCTGGATTATGTCTCAGGTTTGCAAAAGCTAAGGGTGGACCTCCATCTTTGGTTGGAGACAACACAGCTTCCAACTCATCTTTGAATTTCATGACAGAATTTGCTTGCACAGTCATAGTGTCTGGAGTTGAAATGGCATCATTGGTGATGATTTTGCTTGGGGAAGATATCTTAGCAGCTATCTTTTCCTTTTTCTCACCCTCTACTGGTGGTGATGACTGTGAGCTTTTCACAACAGGCTTAGCTTGTTTTAATTCATCTGTAGCAATGTGGTTGGTATCCGTTATATTAGTTTTAGTCTTGGGGACTATAATTTTGTCTTCCTTTCTGCATGAAGAAGACAGCAAGGCAGACAGTTCATGCTTCAGCTTATCCAGATTGCTACATTCATTCCATTCATCATCATCATCATCATTAGATGATGCATGTTCTGCAGAAGGCTCTGTTTTGCCTCTAGAAGTTATTTCATGCTTCATTTGAGTGAGAGACCCATTAGAATCCGAAGTTAAACTGGAATTGCCAGATTCTGTGACTACTATGGAAGGCTTTTCTAAAGTAGCTTTCCTTCCAGATTCTCCCCCTGAGTGGACTGCAGTTGCACTACGTATGGTAAAATTTGGAGGCAAGGCTGGCCGACTGTGAGGTACCATTGTAGGGAGCTGTTCATCTTTGGGACTGGACTCTTTTTCTGCTGAGGAAATAGATGATGTCCTCACTGGAGTAGGGGGAGGTATTTTTAATGATCGGGGGAAAGTAAGATGAGGGTCTTGGTCCGATTTTGTGAACTGTGACTCCTTCTGGGTAGAGGTTATTGGAGAGATGAGGTTTGGACTATGAGGGATGCTGCCTGGCTCCCTCAGATTCAGAACAGTCTCAGATTTCCATTTGGACACACCGTTTGAGAAAGGTGGAATGTGAGGCAATGGGTGCCCTGCACCATCCGTAAAAGCCAGAGGAGGGGTGGGAGGAATGAAGTCTGGTGGGGAAGGAGTACTGGGGGAAGACAAATTGGAATACGGGTCTGAAGGTGGAACCAGAGATGGAGGAGATGGAGCAGGCATTGCTGGTGGAGGTGGAGGTGGAGGAGGCAGCATGGGTGGGGATGGAGGAACTTCCATAGAATATGGAGGTGGTGAGAGATCAGTTGAAGGTGGTGGGGGTGGAGGAGGAACTGATGGTGGGGGTGGAATGTAGTCATCGTCAAGGTAGTTCTCTTCAAATGCCTTTGGCCTCAGGTCGACCACTGAATTGTATTTTCTGTAATTGCCGCCGATTTGAGAACCAAACCCTAGAGAGAAAACAACAGCTGATATTAAGACTTCATTTCAGATATGAAAATTCTATGTTAGCACAGGTGAATATTTTCTCTTGAGCTATCACAAGAAATATTTTTATAGAAGGATTTTAGGATTTTCTGGACTGTGCATACCATAATTCTCCTTTCTGGAAGTTCCACCTACCTTACTGAAACACTTAAATGTCATCTTATCTGGAGGAAAGGCCTAAACTGGAAGGATCTGAGGCTTATCTAAGCCTCTCTCAACATGTCTGGCCATTACTGAGTTCTGGGGAACCAGGCTCTGAGAAGAATCCAGAAGTATGCCCAAGCTATGAATCTGAGTTTTCTAGGGGAAACCCTGCCTTTGACCTGGAGCACCTCTGTCTTGAATGGATGCATTTTCAATTTATTCACTCTCATTTAGTTCATTACCAGCCTTAGGTACTGGTTCAGGCAGAAACAGTTTCCTTGGATTTAGATGGAAATTTATTTACTGTATATATAATTGACATGGTTGCCTCATTGCAGAAAGCAGATGAAAGTCCTGTTGAAGAGGCTGGTTGATTCTGCTTAACGATAGCGGCCCCTCGCCTCTATGCCAGGACTCTTCGTTACTCATGCTAACTGCTTTGAAGGTACTGTAGAGTGGGTTGGTTTTTTTTAAAAAAAGATTTTAAATATAGAATGGCCAGAATTCTAGAATAAAATAAATATTCATCATTGAAAGGTGAGCATTTGAAAATGTGCACTTGAAAACATGAGTTGTTGGGGGACACTTCCACAGATACCATGCATGGCCAAAAAGACAACGTAAGTTGTAAACCACATTAAGCCTGAACTCTCCCTAGATGCTAAAATGACTAAACTGAGACTAATCAAACTGAGGCTAACATACTTGTCCTAATGAGATTGCATCACTTAATAGAGAACACAGTAATTTAAGGAAAAGAGTAGGAAAAGAGAAAGCCCCAAGATTAGATGGATTCATTCCAGAAATGAACCACAGCCCTTAGTTCGCAAGATTAGAGCAGGGCTATTAATGCTAAGACTTTTTGGAGATCATTAGTTCACTGAGTGGCCATCAATTAAAAGTAACATAATGACATGCCACACGCAGATATCTATCTATCTATCTATCTATCTATCTATCTATCTATCTATCTATCTATCTATCTATCTATCTATCTATCTATCTATCTATCTATCTGTCTGTCTGTCTGTCTGTCTGTCTGTCTGTCTGTCTGTCTGTCTGTCTGTCTGTCTGTCTGTCTGTCTGTCTGTCTGTCTGTCTGTCTGTCTGTCTGTCTGTCTGTCTGTCTGTCTGTCTGTCTGTCTGTCTGTCTGTCTGTCTGTCTGTCTGTCTGTCTGTCTGTCTGTCTGTCTGTCTGTCTGTCTGTCTGTCTGTCTGTCTGTCTGTCTGTCTGTCTGTCTGTCTGTCTGTCTGTCTGTCTGTCTGTCTGTCTGTCTGTCTGTCTGTCTGTCTGTCTGTCTGTCTGTCTGTCTGTCTGTCTGTCTGTCTGTCTGTCTGTCTGTCTGTACACAGAAAATTTGTCCCATATCCAAGTATCCCCATTTTAGTTGATTATTCTTTATTTTCCTACTTTGCTTTGAAGTCTATTAAGTGAATACCAGATGGTCTAGCCAGTCCTAGTGGGATACGCTTTTTGGTGTTCATCCATTTGTCAAAGCGTGTTGTTTTTGCTCTTCCTAGATTTAGTAAGCCTCTTTTAGTTTAATATTTTGTTTTAGTAAAGCAAAACATGCTGCTTATATACCGCCATGTAGCGCTTCAAGCATTCTCTGGGCAGTTTACAAGTTAATTATGCAGGCTACACATTGCTCCCCCTCGTGAGCTGGGTACTCATTTTACCGACCTCGGAAGGATAGAAGGCTGAGTCAACCTTCAGCTGGCTACCTGGGATTGAACCCCAGGTTGTGAGCACAGTTTTGGCTGCAGTACAGCAGTTTAACCACTGCATCACAAGGTTCTTTAGCTATTGTCTAGGGCAGAGGTCATCAACCCCGGGTCCACGGCCTGGTGCCGGTCCAGCCCTCCCGCACACATTCCCCTCCCCACCTCTGTTTTGCATGCCAGTGCCAGCGTGAGCACTCCCCCACCCCTTCATGCATGTGCCCAAGCCCCCATGCGGGCAAACATGCAGGTGTTCCTGCGCATGTGCGAAGGGGTGGGAGAGCACTCACGCTGGCACTGGCACCGGCACTGACAGGCACGCAGTGCTCCCCCACTACTCCACTCATGTTCCTGAGAGAGAGAGAGAGTGCCCGTGCAAACGCAGGAGGGTGCCCCTCCTGCCTCAGAGGCTCAGTCAGTCCGCGGTCCCAAAAAAGTTGGGGACCACTGGTCTAGGGGGTTGCTGTCCATGAACTGAGTAGGTTTGGTACAGTTTTACCTTATTTCACACATTATTTGCTAGCACCTCTTGACGTAACTCTGAAAGGGCAATGCTAGCCAAATAATCAACTTTTTCAGTGGGACTATGTTTCAGGCAGCCAAAAAATAATTCTGCATAATTCCTTAAAAGCTACATCCACTTCTTGGCATGTACTGATTTATATCGTACAGCACTAACATATTCTGCTCTGGAGTAACATGGAGACAGAGCTGTTCTTATTGTTTCTGAGTGTACACAACCAGTTTCTTAAGCATGCTATTTTTGGTGGCAACTTTCTCTTTGGTGTTCAGACTATGTTTTTTGCAGCTCAGGTTTGATCCAGAGTGACACCCAGAATATAATTCACATGCACATCATTTATTTGCACACATGCCCATGAATGATGTGCATATGCAAGGTAAATTGCTGGACAATCTTAAAAGCTGCCATCTTACCTGGAGACAGTTTATCTTCAAAGCCTTCTGGCACTGATGGTGTTGGAACAGCCACTCCATGTGTCTCTTGAGCGTTCTGAAAAGGTTTAAAAGATGGATGTCAAGATCTCAACCAATAAGTGCTGGAATTCAAAATAAATTCAAAGATCAGGCAGCTGGCAAAAGTCAAGTTTCAATATGAAAGAAAATTTCTACCTAAGTTTCCATTTCAAAGCAATATTGGTCTTTGCGGAAATTTTACATAACTTTCTGCAACTAATTGACAAGATACCAGGTATGTCTTGGTGATGCACCCAGTGGTGTGAAGGAGTCGAATCAACACGCATATATGCAAAAGAATAACTTAGCCTAACTGCAGCCATCTTGCCTCTGTAATTTGCTTTGCTACATGAATGTGTGAACCTATTATATCAGGGTTTCTCCTTAGTAGACAAATAGACAAAGGGGAGAGGCCGCCTGCATTCCTTTACTTGCAAGTAAATAGCCTAATTGGGAATTCGTCCTTAGTTACAGATAAAGAGACCTGGGTGTCTAGTGCAGAACTGGGAGAAATGAATTGTTGCCAATAAGCTTAGGCACCTGCAACCCCTCCTTTACCCCTCCTTCTCCACACCCCCTTTGCCTCCCTCTTTTTAAAACTTATAAAATTATACTCTGTAGTAAGCGTGCACACCCTCCTCTGCATGTTTGGGTGGATGGAGTTGTGTCCAATTTATCTTTGCTTTTTTTCAGCTGAAAATAAACATATATATTGGATATCCTTGTCCTGGGTTATTTGAACATAGGGACAGTTTAATGTCCAGAAATTAGTTCTGGCACCCTTTAGGTGCAAAGGAGATAGTTAACTGCATTTGAACCAAGTTACACAAACCTTGCACAAAAACCCATGGGATCCTGTTCATTGCAGAAATGACTCTTCTGCATTACAAGGTTTTTTTAAAAACTAAAATCTTTGAGGTTCCTTATAAGTCTGGCTATGGGGCATAAGCAGCACGCTTTGCTTTGCTTTTTTGCTTGTCCTGGGTTAATTGAACATATATCAGAGACAGTTTGATGTCCAGAAATTAGTTCTGGCACCCTTTAGGTGCAAAGGAGATGCAGTTAACTGCATTTGAACCATGGCAAGTTACATAAACCTTGCACAAACACCCATGGGATTCTGTTCATTGCAGAAATGACTTATAAGGTTTTTTTAAAAACTAAAATCTTTGAGGTTCCTTATAAGTCTGCTATTAATCCTATGTACCACATTCATGTCACAGGGCAAAATCGTAAGCTTGATTGCCCAGATTTCAAGCTGGTGAATGTGTTGTTGTCTAGTCATTAAGTTGTGTCCGACTCTTCGTGACCCCATGGACCAGAGCACGCCAGGCCCTCCTGTCTCCCACTGCCTCCTGGCGGTTGGTCAAATTCATGTTGGTAGCTTCGATGTCACTGTCCAACCATCTCATCCTATATCGTCAACCTATAAAGCCTTCACACTTTCCCAACATCAGGGTCTTTTCCAGGGAGTCTTCTCATGAGATGGCTAAAGTATTGGAGCCTCAGCTTCAGGATCTGTCCTTCCAGTGAGCACTCAGGGTTGATTTCCTTCAGAACAGATAGGTTTGTTCTCCTTGCAGTCCAGGGGACTCTCAAGAGTCTCCTCCAGCACCACAATTCAAAAGCATCATTTCTTCGGTGGTCAGCCCTCCTTATGGTCCAGCCCTCACTTCCATACATCGCGACTAGAAAAATCATAGCTTTAACTATGTGGACCTTTGTTCGCAAGGTGATGTCTCTACTTCTTAAGATGCTGTCTAGGTTTGTCATCACTTTCCTCCCAAGAAGCAGGGGTATTTTAACTTCATGGCTGCTGTCACCATTTGCAATGATCATGGGGCCCAAGAAGGTAAAATCTGTCACTGCCTCCATATCTTCCGCTTCTATTTGCCAGGAGGTGATGGGACCAGTGGCCATGATCTTAGGGTTTTTTCTATGTTGAGCTTCAGACCATTTTTGGCACTCTCCTCTTTCACCATTATTGAGAGGTTCTTTAATTCGTCCTCACTTTCTGCCATCAGAGTGGTATCATCTGCATATCTGAGGTTGTTTATATTTCTTCCGGCAAT